TTTTTTAAATTATGTATGGTCTATATGGTTAAAGTTTTGCCCCCCCTCCCCCTTGGGTTGTGAGCCGCCCTGAGTCCCCCCAGGGAAAAGGGCGGCATACAAATAAACTTCAAATCAAATCAAATCAAATCAAAAGACTGGTAAGGAGCTCAGGCAGGCAGGTGGGCCATCTGGAACACTGTACCGGAACAGTATCCGGTGCTCCAGGCAGGCTCCGGTACGCCCGTATCGGGGCGTACCTCCTGCAACCCACCACTGGTGTGGCCCATCAACATCTCTTTAGTAACTGTGAAATAATGGTCAACCGTTGGAGAACTTTTTAAAATTTTTGTTTCTTGAGAACTTGTGGAGAAGAGATTTTACTCCTCAAAATCTTTGATATCTGCCCCCAAACTGGATATCCTCATTGTCCACTTTTGGAGGATGATTCTTGATCTGCTGCACAAAGCATGGTAGTGGTGAGGTCCTGGTTTATGGCTTAGCGCAGTGATGGCTAACCTTTTTCGGAACGAGTGCCCAAAGCGTGCGTACGTGTGCATGTGCCTGAAATCCCAAAATGCAACGTGTGCCTGTGCCCCGCCTGTGCCCTGCCCCCCCACCCCTTCATGGGCCCTGTCCTCCGCACACACCTCACACAGCCCCCGCACATGCCCTGCGCCTTGTGCTTGCAGAAACCTGAAGACCAGCTGGCTGGCGGGAGGCGCATGGACATGCACGGTGGAGTTGAACTGGGGCTATGGCTCGTGTGCCCACAGAGAGGGTGCTGCATGCCATAGGTTCATCATCATGGGCTTAGCATGTTTTGCAAGCCCAACCACTGTGGCCTATACATCTGGATAAACCAAACCCCAACTTAGTATGAAGGGGGAATCCACCCATTTTCACCCATGTTTGTCTATTGTTGGGCAGAATAACAAAGTAGTTCTTTTTTAAAAAAGTTGTAAGACTAAAAGCAAGATAACCAATATTTCTGCTTGACTTTTGACTTTTCAAGGAAGACTGTGGGAATGATGTATTGGAAGTCACTTTTAAGTCCAGGAAATATCTTGGATGAAATTGGCCTAATTGGTAGCTAGGAAGGGAAAAGAATGTAAGGTTCTGGGAAGTTAGTACAAATTTGTTCTTACCGGTAGTCCTCAACTTACAACCACTCGTCATTTAGTGTCTGTTCAAAGTTACAACAGCACTGAAAAAAGTGACATGACAATTTATCACACTTATGAGTGTTGTAGCATCCCTGTAGTCATATCATTAAATTTTAATGGCTTGCAACTAGCATTTATTTGCAGTGTACCCAAGATCCTCTGATCCCCTTTTGCGACTTTTACAGAAATTTGTGGCTCGATTGTGATAATAAGGACTATCTATATTATCTAGTCCCAATGGTGCTCTTTCAAGAGGCAACTGGATTTTCTGGGTTTTTCTTTGAAAATGTTTCGCTTCCCATCCAAGAAGCTTCTTCAGCTCTTCACTTCTCATCCAAGAAGCTTCAAGAGCCGAAGAAGCTTCTTGGATGAGAAGCAAAACATTTTCAAGGAAAAACAAAACAAAATCCAGTTACTTATTGAAAAAGCACCTTTGGGACAACCATGACCTGAATGACAGAGAATTTCCATAGATATATTATCCAGTGTATCCCTCTCCCGCCCTCCCACTTGTATCTATCAGGTTGGTGAGAATTTCTTGACAGCTCAAGATGAGTTACGCAGAATTGCTTCGTCAAATGAAAATGTTTTCTCGGTGAAAAGTTTTGACGCCCTTGAACAGCTTCAGAAACAGCTGAAGGATAAGATCTTTAATATTGAAGGTTTGAACTCATGATTTTCCAATCATTCTCTTTCTGATGCTCTTTGGAGGGTGATTTGTTTATTTTTTAATGCTTAAAGTTTCTTTCTCTGGCAAACTGTAAGAGCTTCCCTGTTCTCTACGATTTATCTCAAGGCTGAAAATAATTTAAAAATAATTTATCTCAAGGCTGAGGTAAATATTATTGGATGGAGAGCCAACCCACCTTCATTTTTCAGGGGAGCAATAATTCAGACCATCTCTAGAGAACTGAAAAAGATAATAAAAAGCTAAATGAAACTTCTAAAATTTGGCAAACGGCATGCTCTTTGAGGGAACAAGAGCATTTGCTTCATTCATAATGTTACTACAGGTACTGCTCGACTTTTGACTGGCCGCTTAGTGACCAGTCAAAATTACAACCTACCTCTAATGGTACTTATAACCTGGATTCGAAGTTCTAACAGTGCCCCCTCCTCATGGTCACATGACTGCACTTCAGGTGCTTGGTAACATGGAAAACTGGCTTTTCTGGGTTTTTTTTGGCAACACAGTACCATAGTGAAAAAACGGTTTGTTTAATGACTGCATTTGCATAACGGCCACAATGTCCGCACTTAATCACTGTCGCATTTGCTTACCGGCTGCTGTTAAAAATGTCCTGAAATCAGGTTGGTTATGTAACTGATCCATTTTACAATCCTTACAACTTATGACCATAATGGGGACGCTCCGTTATAGTCGTAACTCGAGGACTCCACAATCCTGACATCACACAACAGGCCTTAAAGCAGCGAGGTTCATAGTAGCCACAGGCAGCATCAGCAATGCATAAATTTATCACATGATTTGTAGATTTCAAGTATTTTGATGCTGTTGACAATATTTGCTCTTATTCATCATTTTTCTTCTTTGAAAAAGGAGTCGCCAAGCCATCACCTAATGCCTCAGCCAGTTTTTTCGAGAAAGAATTTTCCCAAGGTGGATTCAGCGCCCTTCTTACACCAGTGAGTAGGCAACACAATACTAATTTATATCCTTTGTGAAAATATAAGCTTTTGTCATATTAAAAAAAAAAGGCTAAAAAAAGCAGAGACTTGGGATTTTAAGGCATGGGGATGGATGTTTTAAGTCCTCGGACGTATGACACTTTCAAAAGCCATGCTGGCTGCAGAACTCCCCTGATTGGCTAAGACGAGAGCAGCCTGTCAGTGGGAAAACACTGATTGGTTCAGCTGTCTGACAGCTACTATATACAGTTGTTGTTGCGAGTTCGGGAGTTGCCTTGCACGTTGCATTGTTAGCAGTTACAATAAAGGTTGTTTGTTACTGCAACCTGCTTCGCTTCAGTTCCTGCCTGCCTAGTTCTCCCTACAGAGCACATTCTGACCTGGAGTACTTCTTTAAACCCAAAGGAAAAAGGGGGGAGAAAATTTTCATCTGTCTATTTTCACAGATGAAAGTCACAAGTGACCCACAATTTGTTTACCACTATTTTAAGGAAAAGAATCATACTTTTTTTTTTAAAAAAAGAATCCTGTAGTAACTACTCTGAACCCAGTAGGCAAGAGTGAAAATCAGTCATTAAAATCTGTATGTTCCATGTTTGCCTGAAAAGAAGACCCAACTGGAAAAATAAGCTTTACCATGATTTTTCAGGATGCTCATAATATAAGCCCTACCACAAAAACCAGCCCCAGTTAAGTTCATTAGCCAGATGGACAGATTTAATATCATTTCCCTCCCCCCCAAATAAGACCTAACTGGAAAATAAGTCCTAATGCAAAAATAATATAAGACCCTGTCTTATTTTCGGGGAAACATGGGTAGTTTCCTTGTGGGTGAGGGAATGGGGATTTATTTATTTATTTTTCCACATTTTTGAACCATCTCACAGAGGGACTTTGAGTGCAATACAATAAAAAAACCAAGCACATGGCTCTTTTACATTTCTCTGGTGCAGGTAGGCCTCAAGTTTCAACAGTTCATTTAGAGACTGTTTGCAATTACAGTGGCACTGAAAAAAGTGATTTATGACCGTTTTTCACACTCATGATAGTTGCAACATCCCCACGATCATGTGATCAAAATTCAGACACTTGGCAGCCAGTTCATATTTATGATGGCTGCAGTGCCCCTAGGTTGCGTGATCATCTTTTACAACGTTTTGACAAGCTGAGTCCATGGAGAAGACAGATTCACTTAACAACCATGTCACGAGCTTAACAACTGCAGTGATTTGCTTAATGACTGGGGCAAGAAAGGACATAAAATGGGATAAGAGTCACTTGAGAAATGTCTCACTTAACAACAAAGATTTTGGGCTCAGTTTCATAAATTGAGGATCACCTCTACTGGGTGACAAGGCTACATGTGTGTATGAGGATAGATAAATTGTTCCGCTTTCATCTCTTCCTTGTTTCTTTTTCTCTTCAGGAACATGCAGTGACTGGGGTTGTCGGTGCTTATAGCTGGACTGGAGGATTAGAAGTATCATCCTTTGGAGAACCTCCTCAGACCCAATTCCTGAACATCAGTATCAGTGAGTCCTACATAGGTGAGTGATGGAGACTGGTCTTGGTTGTGGCCTGCCAGCGGCCAGCGGAGCTGGTAGCAGATTTGGACACTAAGGAGGTTGGGGAGGAACATGGCCAGTCCTGGAGTCTGGAGAGGACTCTGATGAGGGCTCTGCATCGGAGGCAGAGATGGGGCTGTCTGACTTTTATCAGCTGCCTTCAGAGTCAGACATCAGTGAGGCAGAGGAACAGCTGGAGCCTGTTCCCAGTGTGTGCATGCGCAGAGTTGCCAGATGGAGGGAACAGCTAAAGAACAGGGGTCGACTTGGGAATAAGGCCACAGGTGGACGATGAATGGTCCTCCCTGAGGAAATAAAAAGGGAGTGAAAGGGGAATAGAGTTTGCAGGAGACAATTAGTCTGCTTAATTGGTTCGTGACTCTCCAGATTCCTTGCCAAGTTTTGAAGATACCGGCCTGGCAGCTCTCCAAGCTAGATAAGGTCTGTGACTGTAAATCCTCCCTTGAAAGACTTTGCTGGATATGAATGTGAGGAATTCAGAATAACTTAATAAAAAGGATTTTTTTTGTCAGGACAAGGAATCTGCTTTGTGGTTTGGGGAGGCCTAGGTCAGAACAGACTTTTTCTCCACCTTCTGCCCCAAAGTGCTAAATTGGTCAAATCCAAGAAACGCAGATTGTTTCTTCTCTTTTCTGGACAGGCTACTCTGTGGCTTTAGCTCGCTTTCACAAAAGGACCTTCTACATCACCGGAGCTCCTCGGTTCCAGCATGTTGGCCAAGTCCTGGTCTTTGAAAGCAAGAGTGGACGCTTAACAGGGAATATTCAGGGTCAACAGGTAAGGGAGGATAGGAAACGGAATGTAGATCAACCTTCACTGTCGTACCAGAAGGGTTGTAAAACTTCATAGAACTGTTGTTTTGCATCAAGGACAGCGTGTCATAGTTCTAAATTCATAATTAGTCTACATCCCACAGAGGTTCTATTAGAACATAGGCATTGCATTTATGACTGTTTGCAGCATTATATGGTTATATGGCTACAATTTTCACTTGTGTGTATGTGTGTGTGTGTGAATTTCTTGTCCTATTTCCAGCAGACACTGCCATTGACAAAAATAGGTTTATTAACCACTGCATTTGCTTAGCAATTGCAGCTTAGCAACTGCAGCAAAAAAAAGTTATAAAATCAGGCACAGTCCTATGGTGACCCAGTTAATGACCACCGTGACTTATAACCATATTTCAGGCTCAGTTATAATTATAGAGTAATTCAAGGATTGCCTGTATACTGTTGGATTTGTTGATTGGGCCTAATGAGGATTGGAATGCAACATTAACTAGACCCATGATGGCGAACCTATGACATGTGTGCCCAAAGTGGCATGAGGAACCATATTGGCTGGCACATGTAGTGTTGCCCATTCCTCTTCTGGGTTTCTGGCATGTATGCGCATGCGACGATCAGCTGCTTTTTTGCAGGTGCAGCAGTGCCAGAAACAGGAAAAACTGGTCTTCCAGTTTCCATTGTGCCTATGCACGCTGGCCAGCTGATTGTTTTACACGCATGCATGCCAGTAACTGGAAGACAAGCTGGTCGGTGCTGACCGGAACTTCATTTCCTGGCGCGTGCATGCCCACTTGGCAGTTTCTCTTCTGGGGCCCGTCCCCAACGAGTGCACATGTACTCCCTTTTCGGCACTCGGTGCCGAAAAGGTTCACCATCACTGGACTAGACAACTTGATTTATTTACTAATTTATTTGACAGACCCCATTTTTCTACTCAATCACAAACCTTTTAAGGTGGCTAAGACTCAGTAAAATGCAGTACAAAAATACCAATTCATAAATCAAAATCAACTCAAGTATTCATTAAGTATTAAAAGTTTGGTGAAAGAAATATAATTTGGCCACCCTTGTAATGGAAGACGGCATGGGAACTGAGCACTGCTCCCTAGGAAGAGCATCTACACCTTGACAAGAGTGCAGAATGAGGCCTTTTCCCAGTTCCCAGAATAACAAGCTTCTGTTAAGAAGATCTGTAGATCTGGCTAGTTTCTTAATAACAGAATTAGGCTCCCTTTGATCATCAGATCCTCAGCTAATAAAACATCTGTAATTTTTTTTGCAATATTTTTTTATTTTTTGTTACAATTTTAAATTCTTTTTACAAATAGTGCATTCCCCCTTTTACATTCTCTCTTATATATAATTTATTTTGCATCACATTACCATTCCAATTTCAGCCCCATTATTTTCTTCCCATATTTTCATCTTAAATTTAATTTTTTCTTAACACATAGGCAATATGACTTTTCACCATTTCTGAAAAATATACCAAATTTATCATTTCATTTTCCATTTGTTATTCTAATTTCTATCTATATATCATATATCATCAAATTCAATTTTAATAGAACAAGCATTTTACTTAATTGGTTATCCACAATTAACAATGTTATTTTATTTAACTATGTATTATTAGCAGCATTAACATATTT